CTAGTAGGTGTAAATGATTGGTAATTGCAATCCATTTCTGTTTTGGAAGAAATTCTGGAAAATTAGGGTTCTTGGTTCTTCATTCTGTCCGAAATTTTTGGTCCTAGATAGAGGCCGAATTGGCCTTGGCTCAAAACATTAAAGTTGTAGGTATTGATGTTTTAAAGGTTTCTGTAAAATTTCAGGTCATTTGGATTATTTTAGAATGAGATAAGCCGAAATTACTATTGCTGTTCTGGGTTCATCAGGATGTTCGAACTGCGTCTGAAATGGGTTGTTTTGACTGGAATTGCTTTGGATTTGGGTGTTGAGGTCTTCTTATGAAATGTAGCTTGATGTCTTAGCTACCGCATGCCTTTCGAATCAATGCATTTGGACCTGTATAGACTGAGTTGTACTGATTACAGCATAGTGTGATTTGTAAACCTGCAATTACGGTTCTGGTTTGGTATTTTGCATATTTGACTTAGTTGTGCTAGGATTTGGACTGAGTGACCTTCTACATTGTTGTATCCCTGGTTCTTAGCTTCGAAATGGTGGGTCTTACACCCTAATCTGATAATCGTAGTGCAAGTTGTACCATTACCGCAAAGTGACGTCAAAACTATTTTTCTGATTTTGAGCTTAACTTTCATTTCTGGACTTTTCCCTAGTTGGACTTGTACTAGTACTACTTGGAGCTTGCTGAATGGCTATGGGATGAACTTTTTGTTGTTGTGTGTGTACCTTTGGGACTGGCTGAGGATATAATGAAGCCATGCTGGCTGGAAAAGTAAGGAAATTCAGGGGAAGTGCTGTCCGAACTTTTGAAGGAAGTTATTTGCATTGAGTTTGTGATTTAGGACTTGGATTTGAGCAAGGCAATGATACATGATGGATAGTTTCAGAGCCATTGAGGTGAGTGACCTCAAACTGTTTCCAAATTTACATTTGAACCGCTTTCCTGCATTATTTACTTTTGAACTGTTTTCAAAGTTACTTTTGGGAACTGTTTTCTTACATATCATGCGTGCTTGCATATCAGTGTTCCTTGTTTACTGTATTCCTTGACTTAATGTCTTGTTATTATTGTTCAATGATTGTTAAAACGAGTTTTCTAGGCGAGTGTGTACTTTATCGTACTCGACCTAAATAAATATGAAATTTTCAATGATTAATGATTAAATGCTACTTGCGCATGAATGTAAGCCTTTTGGGCTGAACTGGCCATTGCCCCTTGTTACCGGTCGTCTCGAGCCAGAAGCGGACTCGGTCGGGCGACTAGGAACTTGGGTGAACGTTTCGGTATACTCGAGTATTACCTTGTAGGTTGGTGGAGCCTGGCCAAAAGCCAGGGACAGGGTGAATGAATGCACGAATGAAAATAATGAAATGCAATGAAATGACAGGAGAACGAATGTATCCTTTGCACGAATGTTACTATCGCTTTCCATTGTACATGTTCCTTGAATTATTGATACTCCATATTTAATGTTTTGTAAATGTTGAAATTGTTTCTGGACTTATCATTTGATTTGAATTGAACATCATTGAAACGAACTATGGTTAAACCGATTTGATTACTGATTTTACTGGTTACTCGCTGAGCTTCTAGCTCACCCCAAAATGTTTTATTCCCCTCCACAGGGCTCAAGGCGAAGGAGTGGCTTGTAGCGTTTATTCATGGATTATCTCATGTGTGGCTTGAACTTGGATTTCCTTTTGTGTAATGGTTTATATTGGGATTGTATTGAACGTTTAGAACGTTTAGAATTGATTGGATGTGTAATAGTCTAGTTTTGGACTTCCTCCTGTATACTAATTGTGATCAAGGATCAGAGTGGCGCTGCGGAAGCGTGGACGCTTCGCTTTTGATATGTAAAGATTGGGAACCTTTGATGGATATTTGATTTATATTTGAGATTGTATCTTGTATTTAATTGAGGACTGTAGTGAATGACTGAGTCCCGGCGAGAGCCGGGCAGGCGGCCCGCCGAACCCTCTGGTTCGCCTTAGGGGGAGGTGGGGCCGTGACATTTAACATGTTATCATTCGTTCATAACAAGTCATATAATGAAGAACAAGCCACATAGTCAATGAAAATATAACAAACAAGGAACACTCACCTATTTACGCAAAATAACGTCCAAAATATCCTTCCGGATAACACCCTCAATCACCAAGGAACCCTAATATAATCAAAAGAACACATTATGCTTCAACCATCAAAGATGTAAGTGATTCAAAGAAAATTCGAATACATACTAGTACAAAGTATAAATATGGTTTTGGTAGTGAAAAGAGGACATAAGTAAAATATTTGTAAAACTTATGCTCACTCGTAAAACTTTAAAATCTCCATTTGAGTCGAAGTGACAAAAAAAACGTATTTTTATTAGTCAAAAATTTCATTTTTCCAAGGGTACCAGTTTCGGCCGAATTCTAACTTATATACCTTGATAAACAAGACGCAAATATCCTAGATGGTTCACGTGGTATTCGCTCTCAAGTCTTACTCAAGTCGTAAGTATCTCTTTCTAGTCTTCGGGCGTAAATTTGGGCAGCACGCCCTTTGTATTTACCTATTTTTCAGCCATTTATGGCTTCATTATTTTCCTCAATCAGTCTCAACATTACACACAACATAAATAGCCGTTCAATAGGCTCAATGTCATATGATTACCAAACCAAGTTAGAAAAATTGACCGGAAATGAAGTTGAAGGCCAAAAATCAAAGGCAGATTTGACGTCACTTAGCGTATCGGACATAGCCGAAGCTACGCTTATTAGAGTAGGGTGAAATTTATACTGTTTCGAAGCTAAGACAGAGTGCTACAACTTTGATGAAGACTACTCAGTCCAGTTCATAGTGTATCTAGGTCAAAAGTCCGGATTACAGAACCAAAATCTTACACTCGGGCTAGTTAACCGTATTATGCATAAAAGATAATAACTCAGGCTACCAAAGTACGATTGAGGTGTTTTCAGTTGCGTTGGAAAGCTAAAACATAGGGTTAAAAGGTTCATGTTTTGGGAAAAGACTGGTTTGGTACGGATCAAGGTGAAAAATGCAGCCAACCTGAGGAAATGTCAAAACTGTCTGCTGGACTCTACCTAGGGTAGTCTTAGGGATATTTTTGTCTTTTCAAGAGCTACAGTGCTCGGATTGGGCTGAAATTTTGTATGAAACTATAAAACATCACTCTGTACAACTTTTATGTTTTATGCTAAGCCTAATTTGGTCTCTAACATGGTGAACTAGAACCGGACAGAACAGGGTGCATACTAACTTCAATTCTGGAAATTTGCTACAATCAAGATATAATTCCTATTTCTAGTTTAAAACCATCACTACCACCTCATATACATCATATACCATCCATACAACAAATATGAGAAGGAAATCATTCAAACCCTAACTCAAATACATGCACCATATCCATCCCAACCAATATAAACACATACAATCCATCATAACAAAAATTTAAAGCATCAAAACTGGAAATTTGTATCACTTGCTGTAATTTTCTCAAACCACCATAGAAATCACCAATTCTTCCATACAAACCCACAAAAGTGATATATAAACCATCATTAACTTTATTGGCATCTTACAACATCAAAATCAACATTTCTACTCAATTGCTACAAGATTTACAAGAGTTCAAGCTGCTTTACCTTCCAAAGGTTGGTTCACAAGGTTGCACTTCAAGAACCAAGTTCCTTAGCTTTCTTTTGCTCTAACTCCCAAGCTTGTTGGATGGGTTGCACAAAACCAGAATTTTTTTCTCTTGTTCTTCCTCTTGTTTCTCTCGATTTTTCCTTTCTTCTTTTCTCCAAGAGCTGGCCGAAACTTACCTTGTTTCTTTGGCTTTGGTCTTGCTAAGAAGATTAATACTAAGTCCCTTGGTCAAAGTCCACTACCTTTTTGATTAGCCAATCAAAATTAAGCTTAGAAATCTCATGGAACCTTTAGAAAGTCTAGTAACTTGTAATTAACCAAAAGTCACACTATGGCCCAATTAAATTCACAATCCTACCAATTTACTCCACAATTTACATACTTGATATATTCCAAAAACCTAATTACACTTCAATTACTCCACTAATCACCCAATCACTATAATTACCTATAATAAAATATGTATTGTCATACATAAACTCAATTACATAATAACCTTTTAGTCACAAGTAAAACTAGGATTTTGATTTAAATTTAAAGTGTCCAATTAAAAAACAATGTTTTAAAACAAGACAAAAGAAATAAATCGAAATTTTACAAGAATGAGGGAAAAACATTGTCCTAAAATTCGGGGTATCACACTGGTCATTCTTTATCGGACGTCCAATGGGTTAGAACGGACGTCTGACAGTGTTCTTCATCCGTTTTGCAGAAAACTTTTGGTTCGGACGGTTGTATCGGACGCTTCACTTCTTTCGGCCGTCCGACACTCAAAAATCGCGTCTTATAAAGAAATTCTCTGCGTCATTCAGTTCATTCTTATCCTTTTATCTCAGATGCAACTCTTCACATTCTCTCAAAGTTCAAAATTCAAATTCGTCTCTCCCTGGAACAAGTACCAAGAAATCACTCTAACCATCACCTTCGCACACCTATTGCGGGTTTATTGCACTTCGTAACTTCCCCCAACCGCCAACTACACTATAATTCTCAATTACTACCCGAAACCCTAATCACAAAAACTCACTCTCTGTGGACTGTTTGTGCATCCATTGTAGTTCATACTGAACTTTTCACCGTTTGATACTCATTTGCATCACATCACGCAACACAAATCACACTACACTTCAATCATGGTGAGGATTAAAGGGGATCCGTGAGTGCCAGACTCACTTTCAGGCTGCATGACGAAGAGGATGAAGATGTTCAAGTTGTTGAACCTTCCATCAAATCACCCAAGAGGAAAATCGAAAATCGAGGTGGAAAAAAGAAACAATCTACAAGAAAAAAACAGAATGTGCAAACTAGAGAGCCATCTGCTGAACCATCTGATGAGCAGATGGAGGAACAGCAATCTGAAGGGCATCCAGTGAGTGACAATGAAGAGGAACCAGTGCAGCCTACCAATGCAGATGTAACAGTAACCAAATCACCCAGGAAAAGAAAAAGGACTGCCAAAAGGAAGAACATTGCTCAACCCAAGGAAAAACAAACTGTTGATCTTTCCGGGGATCAGCAGAATGCAGAAAAAACTGCTGAGGAACAGCAAACTGAGGAACCATCTACCAGGAGATCACCAAGGATAAGGTCTGGTGTCCAAAGTACTGCGCAAACTACTCAGCGCAGTGGAAAAAGAAAGCGTCCTGAGCAGCCTGAGACCCACACTACTACTGAACCCACTCCTCTACCCAAGTTTATCGACGATGAAACCAGAGAAAGATTTGAATGGATCTCGCAGAAGGGCTTTATCACTCAGTGGACCATTATCCCCTACGAATTTCGTAAACTTGATCTTGAACCTGTTGTCAACCTGTTTGAATTCCAAAATGGACCCATCTTTTAACCATTCCAAATACATTCTATCCTGACATGCTCCATCAGTTTTTTGCTAATCTTAGGAAAGGCAAATCACATACTGATCTCATTTCTCGTGTCAACTCTGTTAACATTGAACTGAATCCTGACATTGTTAACTCTGTTTTGGAAACCAAAATTGAAAGTGATTTTAAAGGCAAAATTGCAAATTTCTTTTCTTACGAAGAATTTCCCTCCTGCATACCATCACTTTCATGTTGCAAAATTGATGACCTATTTTCAGTCTCACTTTAATACTCCTGCTGAGGCTGTGACACCCCGCATATTAGGAAGTTGTTTGTAAAGAAGATACTAAAGTGTATTTCTTTGGGTTTGATTTAAAACCTTATTTTGTTTTAAAAGATTAGAAACCCTAATATTTTAATTGAAAACCCTAATTTTAATCACTGGAATTGTAAAATCTCTCACGTTTTTTTCTTAAAAATTTCCTTTTATTTGGCAATTTCATTTATTAAAGTTCTACCACCCAGTCATTCCACAATAAGTGCAAATGAACCTAGAAAGTAGGGTTTCACTTTTCGGTTTCAAGATTGGAGCAAATTAGGGTTTTCGCGATTTTTCGCAGGATGATTTTTCGGTACGGAGCAAGGATCAAATTTGGTGATTAAAAGTGACTTTTAGGTGAGAAATAATATGTGATTAGGAGCAATGATATAAGGTTAATGAATAGGAAATAAAAACCCTAGTACGTGTGTTTTAAAAAAAAACGGCGCCAACCGGCGGATACCGCGTGTTACCGATTGAACGCACCACTTGACCACCACTTTCTTATCACATGAGCTCATTAATATTTGACCAAAATATCCCCCTCATTTCCAGCTAGTCTTGACCGAAAATGTGGACCAAATGCAAAGAAAAGAAAGAAAAAAAAGGGTGGTGGTGGTGGCGCCACTTGTCGCCACCTAAGGGTTTCTTGACCAACCAAGAGTCCAACCTTTTTATCCCCAATTTTTACTCTTTCTTCTTCATTATTTCTGCTGGTGGCTGAGACAAGGGAGGGGAAAAGAGAGAGCAAAACCCATCTTCCTTCATCTTGAATTTGAGCTACAAAGTGAGGAAACAAAGAAAGTAAACCGATTAAAGTTACCTTTGAGTGTTGATTTAGTGAGGTGTTGGTGAATTTTTGAAGGGGAAAGCTAGGGTTGCTCTTGGTAGACACTTAAGCAAGGTGAGGATGATGATTTCCCCATTTCTTACTCTTGATCTTGTTCAATTAGCTTAGCATCTCAAATTTGTGGTGAATAATGGTTGTTATCATGTTTTGGGTGTTTTTCTTTTTGGTTACATGAATTAGGGTTTGATGGATTGCTGCCTATACTTGATGTATGGTTAATATATGTTGTATCTAAGATTGTATAGGGGGTTTTGGTAGCAAGTGAAGCAAGAAAAGAAGAAAGTTACCATTGAAACTAAAAATTCCAGATTTCTGGAAAAATTTTAGCCCATTCTGTCCGGTTTTATTGCATCATTTTAGAGGCCTAATTAGGCTTTCCATAAAACATGAAAGTTGTAGAGAATGGTATTTTATAATTTCCTACAAAATTTCACCTCAATCGGACCAACGTATCCTGTAAAAAGACTAAAATACCCTCACTGCCCTAGGCTATTTCCAGTGATCCGTTTTGGACAGTTCATCCAATTGACTGTGTTTATTCACTATGATCCGTGCTGATTTAGCCATTTTCCAAAACATTAAAGTTTTAGTACTCTGTCTTAGCTTTTAAACGCCTCAAAGAACACCTTAAACGGACTTTGGTAACCTGAGATATGGCCATTTAATTGTAGTACGGTTAGTTAGCCGATTAGTTGGAACCTGGTTCTGTGAACTGGGAATTTGATTAGATTACACTGGAAATTTGACTAAGTGACCTTCATGAAAGTTGTAGGTCTTCGTCTTAGCTTCGAAATGGTATAAGTTTCACACTAATCTGATAAGTGTAGCCTCGGATGTGTTCTTTCCGTAAAAACCCGTTAAAACTGTCTTTTGTAAACTTCATTTCCGCACTCGTTATTAGCTTGATTTCTTGTCCTTGTATTGTCTTGAGCCTATTGAACGGCTATTGAAATGAAATTGTGTTATGGATGACTTTGGGTTGGATTGAGTAAAAGAATGAAGCCATAAATGGCTGGAAAAATAGGTAAATACAAAGGGCGTGCTGCCCAAATTTTCGCTCAAGGGCTAAGTTTCTATTTGAACTTGTATACTTTTGTTTGACCAATACCATGACCGGCTTTCCATTTTAAAACATGAATTTATCATGACGCTTAGTCTATACTAGCTGCTTGGGTACGAGTTGATATTGAACTATCTAAATGATTCTGAAAACAATATTTTTAGCCTATCTCGTTGGAGTCCGAGTTGTCTTTGTCCAAGTGTTTTCCGTCGGACATTTTATAACCCGCTTGAGTTAGTTTTGTGTTTGGTTTATGAAACCCTAGTTATTTTCGTCCTCCGATCCAAATATTCCATTTTCACTATAAAGGCGTCTTTATACGTTTTACTTATCAATTGCTGGTTTTTCTTTGATTTCACTTACTTGTTTGTGCTAGATAGACTGTAATATTCTTTCTCATTTACTCTTAGGTTTTCTTGGTGACTGAGGTAATATCCGAAAGGATATTTGCACGTTGTTTTACGTAAATAGGTGAGTGTTCCTTGTTTGTTATGTTTCTTGATTATATGGCTTGTGTATATGACTGATAACATGTTAAACGCTTTCAATGATTAGCCAAAACGAGTTTTCTAGGCGAGTGTGTACTTTATCGCACTCAGCCTAAATGATTGTGAACTTTTCAATGATTGAACGATTGAAATGTTACTTGTGCATGAATGTAAGCCTTTTGGCTGAACTGGCCACTGCCCCTTGTTACCGATCGACTCGAGCCAGAAGCGGACTCGGTCGGGCGATATGGTGACCTGGGTGAACGTTTGGTATACTCGAGTATTACCTTGTAGGTTGGTGGAGCCCGACCAATGTCTGGGAAGGGGGTGACTGAAATGAACGAACGAACGAGGGTTTTACTTACAAAAATGCATTTTCAAGTGAATGGAGGAATAAGGGGAAATGTCAGGAGAACGAACGAACGAACAAATGGCTCCTTGTGAGCCCGTATCCTTTTAATGTATGTGTTATTATCGCTTTCCATTGTAAATGTTACTTGAATTATTGAAATTCTATATTTAATGTTTGGATGGATTACTGCTTACGTGTTCGGAACCTCACTGAGCTTTTAGCTCATCCCTTTAGTTTTGTTTTCCTTAACAGGGGAAGGCGAGCAAGGACGAGAGCTCTGTATAGACTAGCTTGGTCTAGTTCTTTGGTTTTGTAATGGTTCTCGCCCTAGTGCTTGGCACGGGCTGGTTGTATGGTGAAATGAGAACCTTTGTATATTCGACGGATGTACTTCCTTCTGAGATAACAATGTATATAATTTTGTTTTAAGTTTTGGATCCTTGTTTTGCTCTTTCTGGTGGTTTTATTTCTGATTTGCTTGAGTGAACGACTGAGTCCCGGCGAGAGCTGGGCAGGCGGTCCGCCGAACCCTTTGGTTCGCCTTAGGGGGAGGTGGGGCTGTCACAGAGGTAAGATTGGAAGATCTTAGTTCTCAAAACCTGATTATTTTTACCATCATTTCAAATATGTTGGTGTCTACTGATGGTCACAGAACTGATGCAAACAAAATGAAACTTTATCTGTTCTACTACCGTTTTCTTGAAAAAATCTGAATTGATTTTGGTTTTGTCATGTGCAAATTTCTACTAAAAATCAGCACTGACAGCCGTAGGAAACTATCCTATGAAAAATTTCTGACTCCTATTTTTAATCATTTTGAAATTTCTTTCACTGGCAAATCTCCAAAAGAGAGTGCATCAACTGTGTTTTCAAAGGTTTATTTTGAAAGGAAAAATCTGAAATTTGTTGAGGGTCATTGGTGCTACAAAGAAACTGTCTCTGAGTCCAGGAGGAAAAATCTTCATGAAACCCTTGTCACCCGTAGGACTCCTCGTGACCAGTCAATGTATGTGACACCCTTCACCATTCATCCCAGAAAATCAGCCTCTAAATTTCCTTCATCCAACCTTGAGGTCATCACTCTGCTTGAGGACCTCAAAACAACATATCCTGCCTTTTGAAGATGGCTTGATAATGACCATGACTTCTGATCAACAAGCCACCTTCGTTGCCAAAAGGAATCTGCTCGTACCTCCCATTCCTCCAGAAAATGAAAATGCACACTGAAAGGAGCCTAGAACTGAGCCAACCACTGAGGCTACCCCAGAATACCGTGCCTCCAATTCTCAACCACAGGACAAGGGAAAAGCTCCGGCAACTGAAGAAGAAACTGAAGAGGAGGATGATAATGATGAGGATGAGGACACTGAGGAAGAAGACCCTGCTCAGTTTCGTCTGGCTAGAAGAAGGTCTGGATCCTCCAAGATCACATTTTAGGCACCCCTAGGCACATGCACCTCATGATAGTTCATAATAGGGTCTTGGCATCCCTTGCGTTTCAAACTTTATGTGTTTTATATTAAGACTTCTACTTTCCCTTTCACTGCTTGTCTGTAAGAATATTTGGATATTTTGTGTGGTTTGAACTCGTGGTTTTGTTATTCCTATGATTTTTGGATGAATGTTTGGTACTTAATGTCTGATATTGTTTGTTGCTGGACGATATTGTTGGTATATGGCCACGGTTGATTTAATGATGACAAGAAGGGGGAGAAATGGTTTGGTTGGATATGAATTCTCTATGTGAGGGGGAGTCATTTTTTTCTGAGTAAACATGGGTGAACATTATTGTGAAGGAAAGTTGTACTTAAGCAAAGAGGGAGATACATTAAGTAAGGGGGAGCTGTACTTAAATTTTTTGCTCCATCCATTGTTTTGTTATCATCAAAAAGGGGGAGATTGTTCATCTCAATCCGTATCTTTTGATGATTACAAAACAAATAGATGTTACTAATATTCCCTAAATAGATGTTTTCAGATTTGGAGCAAAACAGGTTAACATATGCTGAAGCATGAGTCGGACGCACAAAAAGTCTGCATCGGCCGTCCGATAACCTTCGAGTAACTTCGGACGCATAAAGAACTCACTCTCAGATGTCCGAGATAATAAGCCGAGTTCTCTAAACTCACTGACTTCGTTCGGACGTACAACACCTGAGTACCGGACGTCCGACAAACGTTGCGACACTTCGGACGCAAAGCACTGAAGCACCGGACGTCCTAAACATTTCAAGAAAATTTCTTGAACTCACTACCTGCGATCGAACGCGGAAAACCAGCCTATTGGACGTCTGACACCACCAACGGCTAGTTGACTCTTCAACTGCCTTCTATCCGTTGACAGCATTAATTGAAGTACTTTTTGGTCTCTTATAAATAGAGCAAAGTCAACCACCTCAAAAACACTTTGCACATTGAGACTACATCAGATCTTGAGTGATTCATGTGATACCCCAACTTTTAGGATCATCTTTTGTTTAGTCTTAAAGAGGATATTACGGTTTCTTTAGTTTATTTTATTTTAAAACATTATTTTGTTTCAAGGAAGATATTAAAGTTATTTCTTAGGGTTTGATATAAAAGCCTAGAAACCCTAAAAATCTAATCGAAACCCTAGTTTTACTTGTGAATGATCTCAAATATCTCATATTTCAACCGAAACCCTAAATTTAATTTATGGAATTGTACAACCCTCACGTTTTTCTTAAAATTGCCCGTTTATTTGGAAATTATTCATTTATTAAAGCCCTACCACCCAGTCATTCCACAATAAGTGCAAATGAACCTAGAAAGTAGGGTTTCACTTTTCGGTTTCAAGATTGGAGCGAATTAGGGTTTTCGCGATTTTTCGCCGGATGATTTTTCGGTACGGAGCAAGGATCAAATTTGGTGATTAAAAGTGACTTTTAAGTGAGAAATAATATGTGATTAGGAGCAATGATATAAGGTTAGTGAATAGGAAGTAAAAACCCTAGTACGTGTGTTTTAAAGAAAAACAGCGCGAACCGGCGGGTCCCGCGCACTACCGTTTGAACGCACCACTTGACCACCACTTTCTTACCATACAAACTCATTAATACTTGAGAAAAATATCTTCTCATTTGCTAGCTAGTTTGACCGAAATTTAGGGCTCAAAATAGCAAGGAAAAGAAAGAGAAAAATGAAAGGTGGTGGTGGCGACACTTGCCGTCACCTAAGAGTTTCTTGACCAAGAGAGTAACCATCCTTCTTATCCCAATTTTTGCACCTTTCCTCTTCATTATTTCAGCAGCTTGGCCGACCAAAGAGAGAGAGAAAAGAGAGAACAAGAACAACTTTCTTCTTCTTGATCTTAGCTATCCAAGTGAGAAATCAAACTTCCAAACCGATTAAAGTGCTAGTTGTGGGCTTAAGAAGCTAGGGCAAACAAAAATTTCCAAAGGAAGTGGAGTATCACTCTTCCAAGCTTGTCTTTGAGGTATAAGATCTGATTATGGTTTTTGGTCTTTTAAATTTTGGTTTAAGATGTCATCTAGTTCATGTTTTGGCTTGATTACAAGATATGCAAGTGGATGTGATGATTTTTGGATGATATATGCAAGTTAGGGTTTAATAAATTTCTGCCTAAACGTGTTGTATAGTTAGTATATGTTGTATATAAGGTTATCTAAGGGGTTTTGGTAGTAAGTGAAGTAAGAAATCAAGAAAGGTTGCATTGAAATCAACAAATTCCAGATTTCTGGAAAAATTTCCCCTCTTTCTGCCCGGTTTTGGTACCATATTTAGGGGCCAAATTAGGCTTGGCCTAAAACATGAAAGTTGTATAGAATGGTATTTTATAGGTACCTACAAAATTTCAGCCCAATCGGAGCAACGTAGCTTGTGAAAAGACGAAAATACCCTCACTGTTCTAGGGTACATTCCAGAGTTCCGCGTGGACAGTTTAGTCTATTTGGTTGTGTTTATTCACTATAATCCGTTCAGATTTAGCCTTTTGACAAACATGAAAGTTTTATTATTCTGTCTTAGCTTTTAAACGCCTCCAAGACCACCTTAATCGGACCTTGGTAACCTGAGATATGACCATTCCAGTGCAGTGCGGTTAATTAGCCAACTAGTTGGATTTTGGTTCTGTAAATTAGGAATTTGACTAGGTTTCATTGGAAACTGGACTAAGTGATCTTCATGAAATTTGTAGCCCTGTGTCTTAGCTTCGAAACGGTATAAGTTACGCCTCAATCCGATAAGCGTAGCCTCGGATGTGTTATTTCCGCAACCACACGTCAAATCTGTCTTTTGCTAGGTTACATTTCCGCACTTGTTATCATTTTGATTTTTGTTCTTATGTTGTTATGAGCCTATGGAACGGCTATTTACTTGAATCTATGATATGTATGACTTTGCGATTGGCTGAGGAAAAATAATGAAGCCATAAATGGCTGAAAAAATAGGTAAACACAAAGGGCATGCTGCCCAAATTTACGCTCGAGGACTATAGAATTACACTTGCGAATTGGGTAAAGTTAGTATGAGTATCATTTGAATCACCTAGAACTTTAGCTATCTTGGTTCGAGGGTTATACGTTAAAACCTAGCCGAACTTGTACCTTGAGGAAAGGACATAATGACCAATGTAAACTCGTTTTCCTTGCACTTTCGACTCAAATGTTATTTCCAAGTAAATATGCTGCAAAATCTTACGATTTGAAAAGCGAGCAACTGTTTCACAAATGTCTCTCAAATGAATTTCAATTATTTGATTCTCATTGAACGAAACATTTAAGTTTCGAATCTTAGTCATGTTTCAAAGTTCTCAAACTGAGTTTTATCGAAGATTTGGACTCCGAACCCGGAGTATAACCTGAAAGTGACCAATAAAGGCACTATATCTTTTGGTGAGTGCTTTCAAATACCGAATTGAACTTGATACTTGAACTTGATATGTGGCCAATATGATTACATGTTATATATGTGAACTGTTAGGGCAAGAGTGTATTTTATTGCACTTGCCCTTATGTGATATATACTTGTTTATTGTTGCAATTGACTCGATATACTTGTTTATGATGCGCGCACTTCCTGGAATTCCAGAAACCCTGCGGCGAGTTACTTAAGTCGAGCCGGCAAGGGCTTGGTCGATTGGGTAACGAACCCTGGGTCTCTTGTTTTGTCGAGTGGAATGATATCTCCTCGACTAATCGGTATACTCGAGTATTACCACCCGTGTTTCTTGAGGATTTTGGGCCCAGCTGGGGGTTTGAACGGTGGACGGAGAGTCGTTTAAGTGGTGTTCTACTGGATTGGTTCCTTTACTTGAAAGTTGACGGAGTGTCAACTATTATGTGATCAAGCTCCTGATGATGAAATGGGAAGTTGGCTCCTGAGAGCCATCCGTATCCTTATGTTTTGGAATGATTATTGCTTATTGGATTATTGTTTATTCTGAAAAACGTTTACACTCGCTCATTTTGAGAGTGCTACTTGAAGTGTTATTGCTCACTTTTATGAACTCTTCATGCTCGTTACTTTGCTATATCGAAAACTTGTACTTATAAATAATGGTCAATTTGCTATTTGGAACCTCACTGGGCTTTTAGCTCATTCCACGCTATTTGTTTTCCTTACAGGGGGTACGAGCGAGGCATGAGACATGTAAAGACTAGCGTAGTCTAGTTGTTTTTGACTTTTGACTTTTGACTTGTACTCGCGCTATTCCTCGAATGGAATGTTTTGTATTTGGATTGTATACGCCTTGAACCAGTTGGAGTATATTGAGGCTTTGTACCTTGATTTTCATCAATGTAAATTCTAAGCTTGAATTGCGACGCTATTTATGGTCCATGGATGTTTGCACGTGTTACGAGTGAGTGAGTCCTGACGAGAGTTGGGCAGGCGGTCCGCCGAACCCTTTGGTTCGCCTTAGGGGGAGGTGGGGTCGTCACAATTCAAGTGTGAGAATACTCCAAAAAGAAGATTTGTACTCTTAGTTGTGTAATTTTCGATAAGCTTTTCAAGTGTGTTTCAATTTCTTCAATAGTGTAGCTTTGTGAGGGTTATCCGAGTGATAGTAAAACTTTCTTGCTTGACCAAGTGCTTCTTGGGGCGAGGAGGAAGTGATCCTTCCTTTGTATACAAGAAATTGGTTGTAAGTTGATCAACTTGAAGAAGCTTGCTATATAAAGTGAAATTCAAACTCAAGTGGAGTTTGAAACTTGGTTTGCTATTCTATTCTTTTTACTTACTGTCTTGCAATATAAATTGTCTATCTCTTCTACTCCTAAGCACTTGTGCTTATTCATCAATTGCTCCCTTGAGTGGTCCTTAGAAAAAGAGGGCAAGTTCTCAAAAAGTGAATCATATCTTGGCCAGTTTTTAAACAACCTAATTCACACCTCTCTTAAGATGTCTTCGATCCTTACATCCACTAGACATGCTTAGGTAAACCTGCAAAAACAAAT